GAGTTATAAATTGGAATTTAGTGAAGTTCAGTTTCATTCATTTTGTGTGCTTTATATAGACATTTTAGACATTTGTTAAAGAAGTATTATTAGTAATATGAGTATATTTAAAACCCAGCACTAAAGCAAGTAGTGTGAAAATAATATGACAAGTAAACCAAAATCCAGCCTCGACTCAGACACATTTATTACCATAAGCAGAAATTATGGTCTACTTGCTAAAACTAGACCACAAGTCTATAAGGCGGACATGCTTAGAGACTAATTAATCAATTAAGCTTTGAGTCACAGTTTAGATGAACTTCAGCTGTATTGACTTCACGGACACACTTTAATTAAAAACATTTTAGGTATTTGCAGAAAGTGTTTATTAAACTACATAATAATAATTTTACAACAAGAATACAAGTCAAGAGTCTGTCTGGATAAACTTGACAAGGAGCTAAGAAATTGTTTAGATGTGCAAAAAGAGGCGAAACAATTGAAATAAACTAGTGATTTCTAAACGTTGTCAGAGCTAAAGACAAATAAAACAATGACAACAAAAGAAAAAAATAAATACACGCACAGGAATACAGGATGCTGAGGCTGTTTTTGATGAGGGGTAGGATTCCTATGTAAGAAACTACTTAGTTATTAGAAAAGAGGCACTAGCACTGATATAACTCCCGTCAACTCAAAAATATTTTATGGAATGACACAATTATTAAAGATTGGTCCCGTCACTGTCTCAGTTTGGTTGTCATGTCTGTGTTTCACCACCAGGTGTCTGTCTTGTCTTATTTTTCCCTCAGTGACAGATGATGTCTCCACATTTGTTCAGACCATTTTCATTTCAATATATTTTAGTTTATTGCTAAAGTATTGCTGCTAAAATGTCTTAGTTGTCAGATTTGTTTGACGCTAAATCTTTTACTGCCTCAGTCTGCAATGGACTGTTGCCTGTGTTGTTTCAAGCACAGCTGCTAGATAGTTGTTATTTATTTTAAATCATAATAAGAACTTCTGTACTTGCTGTAGCTGCTGTAATTTAAACTTCGATTTGAATCTAGCTCATTATTAAAATCTTTGCTAACTTGGATTAGACTTCTATTGAAATAAACAGGATAGAACTTCAG